GAAGGATGACTAAACAGAAATAGTGTTTTCTGGGCACAGAAGGTCAATTGATATTGGACTCTCAGCAGTTGTTGGTAGCATGCCCAAAACCTACATCAGCTCATGCCAGACAAAACTCCCACCATGGTGAGGGGATGAGGGTAAGAAGTTCCACCCCTATCAGGTAAGCTTCCTAGAGGAGGAAAGTCAGTTTTCTTTATTGGTGTAGCCATTTCTGGATGGAACACACTGCAGTAGAAACTATACATTTAAGAGAATATGAGAAGCATGGATAATTTTAGTTCTTAAATAAATCACAGGTGATCTAAAAATAAATTATAACTAAATGAAATAAAGTTTCATGTTAACGGCAATTGTAGAGATGTTAATGATACATGTTAAATAAATGTATAGTGGCATCCATGCAAGCAGTAGATATATCTTTATAAATATCAAGTTGACTCAATAGCTAGTACCCTGCTGAAACAGATAGTCATAATATTTCCATCACACATTACAGAATGCATTACAGGTTATGTTCCAAGATAGGTACAAGAAGATATTTTACATTCAAGACCCAACTGAAAATCTTTTTAAAAAGAAGTGTTTTCCTCTTAGTTCATGCATTGGTCAAGCCATATTTTAAAATCTATGAACAAAGTCCCAATGCTATATACTATGCAAATTTCTCATCCTAAAGTAAATTACTTAGTTTTATTTACTAGATGACAGTTAAAATGAGAGTGTCACTATATATGAAGAAATTTACAGTTATAATACAATAGTGTTTATTAATATCTACATATGTTGAGCTTTGCATTCCCTAAGAATTTTGGGATAGGAAGTTACAATAGCAATTTTAATGAATAAGCAATGGATGGCACCCTTCCCTTTACTATTATTATATTAGACAATGCATGGAGTTGGTGTTTCTTAGAGAAGCCAAATACATTCTGTTAAAAGACAAAGGCTCTGTTAAATGTTAGTATCAACAAAAATGTGAAAAAAATCCCGATAAACAAAACAAGTCAAAATGATGTTCAGTTTTACTGCACATTTGTGTATGCTTTGTGATACAAACACAATTGTCCTGATGTTTACAAAATTCTAATTTCTCCCACATTTCTAACATTGTTCTTAAGAGAATGTTTTTGACCTGACCAATTCCTAAGTATATGAATTAGTGCTCTGCATTTAAATGACAATATCTAGACCAACATACTTAATTTATTCTAAATTTAAAAAGATGCATAACTTGTTCCCCCTCCTCTTCTTTAACTGACCTTTCTTTGCAGTTTACTAGAACTCTGTTTTTCTTTAGGAAACCTAGTTTTACAGCTTTTTCAAATTTTGTTCATTAAAAAGAACGCACAATGGAGTGAAATTGCGGGTAATGGAAAAAAAGTTTAAATATAGTGAAACAATGATTCTCACTGTCCTGTGATGGTTGACACACATTGTTTTATTTCATTTATTTCTTTTTCACTGCTTTACAAACTCTGGCTCTGTTGGACAAGTAGCAAGTTACAGGCACAGAAAGATAGGAAAACAATCATGTGTTTTCATATCAAATTGTTTCTCTGAGACCAGAAAGTTCTCAAAGTCATGGCTTGCAACTGAGCCTGCATTTAAAATTAAAGTATTAAATATTAATATTTCTGGGGCTGGAGAGATGGCTCAGAGGTGAAGAGCACTGACTGCTCTTCCAGAGGTCCTGAGTTCAATTCCCAGCAACCACATGGTGGCTCACAACCATCCGTTATGAGATCTGGTGCCCTCTTCTGGTGTGCAGATATACATGGAAGCAGAGTGTTATAAATATTAAGATTTCTTGGAAATTTTACTTTTTATTGTCCAAGATTACACTCTAGGGATCCTTGCCATTTATCATAGTTGCCAATCATGGAAAACATGATCTTCCTCATGTCATCTCCCATCCCAAATAAAATAGGGTATTTATAGAGATTCAAGATAACAGGGCTAGATATTCAATGGAATGTATATTTAATAGCAAAGTGGAAAGAACCTGTCAGTAGATTTCTAAAGACTGAATTATTCTATAAGTGGATATCTTAAAATATGTCACAGTCTCTCTTTGGGCATCAGTTACTTTAAGTACAAAAGAAGAATTCTAACTTCAGCATTTTATATTACTGTATCATAACTGAATGTGGAAATATCATAGCTACCACAAGAAAAAGTAACAGTTATATTTATTATTTGAGAAGGGGAGGTGAGAGAGATTGGTACATGAATGCTTTGCTGTACTTGTGGAGGTCAGAGAAAAACTTTTTGGCAATCAGCTCTTTCCTCCTACTCTGAAGAGGTAGTCTTTCTTATCATTTCTTTTGTGCTACATACTTCAGGTTAGCTATTCTACAAGAGTCTAGCAATACTTCTGTATGAGCCTGCCTTCCTGATGTACAAGTTCTGGGATTTGTGTCTGTATGGGTTCTGTAGATAGAGCTTAGGTCATCAGGCTACCATGGCAATGCTTTACCTGCTGGACAAAATGACGTAAATAATTATCTGTGGGGTGCTAGGCTCATCTATCTCACTTTCCCCAAAGATATAGAAAACATTATGGAAAAGAGAATGAGAAGACTTAAGAGGCAGAGGTTTGTGGAAGGTGGTGTCAAAACAGTGTCTTCTGGACATGGCAGAAGTGATGCACTCATGAACTCACAGCAGGTACGGCCAATCAACATTCTATCATGGAGGAATGAGGGACTCATGAGCTCCCACTCCTAGATAATGGCTTAGAGAGGAAGTTGGGTTAGTTCTTCTCTTTAGAAGTGTGGTCCCCAATAGATGAGTCATTCTCCCATGGATGGCTCCACATTCACGTCTGTATGGATGGTTGTGATGTAGCAATTTCCTCTGAGATAAAGCATTTCTTCCTGGAGGAAATATTCTCAAAACTCAGAATATTATAAAGGGAGGTTAACTCTTTCATCATGCACTAGATCCCATTATGATCAAGAAGCAAACAATACAAAGGCTTCAGGAAGTCACTGAAACAGACCAGATATACTAGGTTGCTCTATCCCCAAGCATATATAAACCATAAAAGACTGCTGAGGGTCAAAACTCTCAGAACCAAAACATCTGACTAGAAGATGTGCACAGAAGCCAAATCATCTGGAAGATGCAGAACTTCCTAGAAGATGCTCAGACCAACTGAGATGCCTACAAAAGAGACTCTTCATCCTTTCAAACTACCTCCAAGTTGTGCAGTGAGATCTGGGTTTCCAGGTTTCCAGGTGTGAGTAGATGTCACTCGTGATGGCTGAGCTTTTGGTTTATGTTTCTGTGCATAACCCCTCACTCATACTCCTGTGAGAAACTCCAATAAAACTCATTGGTTCACCAAGTTGGACTTGGGTGGTAACTTACTTTGGTCTGTAGTCAGTCCCATATCAGGCACCAGCAGACATTTGTTAATGTCTCTCCAGTAACAGTGTCATAGAACAGTTACACATGTTGAACTCAGTGGATTTTTAAAAAAGACAGAGGATATGAAGAGAGCGGGTGATAGAAAGTATGAGCTAGATCCAGGAGGATTTAGGGGGAGGAAAAGAGGATAAATATGGTAAAAATACATTGCATGAATGTATGGCATTCTCTAAGAATAAAATATGTTAAATATAAAAATTATTTTAAATATAATGAACATTACTTAGCATCATTGTAATTGTACTATCTACTGATGGCAATGCCACCTTTTGTCTCTAGTAAGTCTCTTAACAGTTTCCTGTAATTGAAATCCATTGTTTTTGTTGTTGTTTTTTGTAAGTGGTCCAAGGAATCAGTGATTGTATAAGTCATAATCACACAGGGACACAAAAAACAATTCAGCATTCGATTTGTCCACCATGCCTTTTAAGAGCACCTATAATTTCACAATCACTCAACTGACATTTTTTGACTCAACAAATGAAGAATTAAGCAGTGTTTCTTTCTTACCAGAAATTAACCTTGAAAAGAAAACTGTGTCTCAAACATGTGCATGGTTATAGTCTCCTCTCCCTCTCTTTATGTGTGTTATGTATTTGTATACATGCACACATGCGTGCATACATCCATATGCATACATCCATGCTCACATACATATACAGATGCATACATGAAATCTGATGACTTCTACTGGTACCACAGGCAAGAGGCACACAAGTGGTACACAAGTGGTATATATATATCTGAGGTTTTTGGTTTTAGTTATTTGTAAAACCACACCCTCTTTCCCTTAACTAAATTAGATGCAAAATTAAAAACTGGTGGAAAGCACCACTGAATTCTTTGCTTAGAAACATATAAACAGTATTCTTTCTATCCACAAACAAAAATGTGTTCGTATAAACCTAGAAATTATTGACATTTTCTTTAAAAAAAAATGAAAGGGAATGCGCAAGGAGAAAGACCCACAGTAGAAATCACATTCTGGAGATTCTTTAATATATGATTTTGGTGTTTGAGAATGTTTGTTCCCTCAGATTATATCCAGTATGTTATATAACACAGCATGATTTGCATTATGTTATCAAAAAGATATGTTCCTTAAATAATTGTATTTTTATGCCATTTTACGCTTTTAATTCTAGCACTTGGGGAGTAGACACAGGAAGAACAGAAGTTCAAGGCTATCTTTGGTTATATAGCAAGCTTGAGGACAATTCTACAAGACAATGTTTCAAATCAAATTAAAAAAATAGTACTAAAATATTATCAACTGAGTCCAAATGAAAAATCTTAACCCACAGCCAAATGACTTGACTATGCCATTAGTAGCTGCAGAATCTAAATTCTTAAGGTTGTCATGCCAGAATGTACTTACTGTACTTCTTCAATAATTCTCATCTTTTCACAAACCAGTGAACACCCACACCCCCAAGTAAGGTTGTCATGCCAGAATGTACTTACTGTACTTCAATAATTCTCATCTTTTCACAAACCAGTGAACACCCACACCCCCAATATTGCTAATTTATGTGTATTAAAGGAAAACTTACAGAGATTTCATGGACATTTCAATTTTAATATTTATTGCCATCAAAATTAGTGATTTAAGGCATACACAACAACAATGGCCACCATAGAAATAATCTGTCAAAATAAAGCTGTTTTTTATATGAGTGATAAAGCTTTAATTTTATTCTTGTTCAAAAAAAAACTATGTTTAACATATAGATGCTTGGACACACACTGGAATTTAGATTAGGCAAGGAGGTTTATCCAATATTGCAGACAATCTTTCTTTGCAAAAATGCTTGATCTGAATGATTGAAATCTGACAAATTCACATAATTAATTACATGAATGTTATGATCAATAAGGAGTCAGTATTACACATCAAGCCTGGATCAAACTCACTTCTTTTGATGAGTTCTTTTTGATCAATGTTTTTTAGGAAAATCCATCTTAATCTGGATAGCATGGCCAAGATACAATGGCATATAGACGTACTCAGAGCTCAATTTACATGAGCATTGCACATTGCCCATAGAAGGAATAAGAAAGTGATTCAAGGAAAGGGAAAAAATTATGTGTAACTCAATATAATGTGGTCATTTGGTGCTAGATGTTTTAGTATTCTTGTTTGCTAGTGGTGAATCTCACCAAAACCAAATAATAACAGCATTTATCATTGTTATCTGACATGCAAAAGACTGCCAAAAATAAGGCAAGGACTGATTTCAGCAAGATGTTACACTTGATAGCATTACTAGCTATTGACCAAATTAATTGAGAAACTGTAAGAATATCTTAATTATTAAGGTAGCAAAGTAGGTTTTCCTTCTAGTTCAAGAATATTACATAATGAGAGGTCATAAACTGATTGGGTCACAGAAATAGGAAATTTAAATCTAATAACTCACCGAGATAACAAATAGTGCAAACATAATATTAGTGATTCTTAGCTTAAATTTGAATAAATATTGAAGTAGTTACTCTTTTGTAGAAAGCAAAGTGAGGATCCCACTTCAGGAATGTTACTTCAACATCTCTGGCTGAAAGCAAAGTGAGACAAAGGAGAGAGGTCTTGTGCTTCAGGATTCACTGCAAGATACAAGACTCTTTGGAGTCTAAGCATAAACTAAACAAAGCACTTTAGTAGGCTATCTTTTTACAGTTTTCATTACTATGCAATAGGACTCAATTGAGCAAATTGGTGATAAAATATTTCTATTACATTATTGTGTCCAAAGTCAGCTAAGGGAGTGCAGATTTCCCTAGTAGTGGATAAGGTGCAAAAATTAGAAAGGAGATACCATATCAATATGGGCGGAAGGCTTGGGCGAGTGTAGAGGAGAAACAATAAAGGGAGACCATATAGTTAGTAGTGAAAGCGATTAGAAGTGGACATGAAGTACCTGTATCGATACAAAGTTTTGTGCTGCAGTTTCAAACTCCAAGTGTTTGTCTGGATCCTTTACAAATTAAAGCTACTCCACTTATGTACAACATAGAAAATGGAGTCTAAGTTTCAATGAATTTTTAATTTTGTTCAATCCTGAATCTGTTCAACCAAAAACAATTTAAAGAGGATTGCAGCTATCAGCTTCAGAGCAAGTGAGATAAGTTCCTCACAAGAGAGTTTTTGGAATTTCCATAAAAATCAGCAGTGTGCATCTAACAGCATTCTTTTAATTTGCCCATCAAAATGTGAATCACCAACAAATATTCTTCAGGGCCTCTTTATTTTCAGGATTAAACATGTCATTTTGCCACATTCTTTGAATTCTCACTTTAAGTAATCATAAATAAGGAAACCTTGATATTCTTTGGCATAGCACAGTTGTTTGATTCAGGTAAGTTTCCAAGTTATAGAAATTGCACTGTTCCTTCTTTAGAGTCCTCAAAAGATTAGTCTCCTAAGATTTTAGCTGAAGGATTCTTTATTGTATTCAAATTTTGTCCCATATGAGTTGCTCTGGTTACTCAAATTATGAAGAGTCTTGGAAATCGAACTTGGTCCACAGCAGAAAACTCCAACTGTTTTCCTGGAAAAAGAAGAGAAGAAATGGGAAATCAGGTACAAACTTTGGCAGAATATGACAAGCACTTAGCTATATGAACACGGGTTTAAGGTATTGGAAAAGTTAATTTCTTGCTGCTTTACATTTTAAAACAACTTTCCAATTATGGACCTTCATAGCTGAATTCAGAAAAATGTAATTAGAGCATAAATTGGCTGGTGGAAATTATGCAGTGTGTCTTTTATTTTCACTACATGGCACTGGGAAGCATACTAAGAGAAAAGAATGAATAGATGACAATTCTTTAACTGGAATTTTATGTGTTGTTCTAAACTTTTCACATGGAGTTGCATAGTTGTAGTTCAAAATAGAGACTGAAAAGTCACCACCAATTGGAAAGCAAAAATTTTATCCACTTGGAATATATATATATATATGTATGTATGTATGTATGTATGTATGTATGTATGTATGTATTCACAGAGAAATGACAAATGGATTTTATTATTTTCTAACATAAAACTTCCTTCAGTAATCAAAACCATGTATCTTTAACAAATGGAAGAAATAAACCCCAAGAATTAAATATTTTAATTTGATCTTCCTCCAAAGTTTACTGATATGCACCAGCTTCCTTCTAGGATATCAAATGTTTAACATTACCTATCCCAATAAAGACAAATGCAGACAGCCCTCATTATTACAATATGATGGGGAGCAGACGACAAAGACCGAATTTATTGAAAAATACAAATACAGAAAAAACTTTTAAGACTCTTCACTTTCAAAATTAAACTAGGAAGTATAAAAACAGAACATTTACTTGAAGTCATGGTGGTATAATGGAGACATCCTCTTCCATTAGAGAACCAGAGAAAGGGCTTTAGGTATATCTCAGCGTTAGTGCTGTTGCCAAGCATGGGTGAAGCCCTGATCTTGATCTCAACCACTGAATTATGACAAACCTACCAGTGTATAAACTTCACACCCCCCCAACACACACACACACACACACACACACACACACACACACACACACACACACACACATATAAAAAATATTATTTTTTGTTGTTATTATACACCAGAGATCATGCTACTCCAAGAAGACACAGGTTGACAAATAAAAAGTTTAGTGCCAGGTGTGGGAAGCCTTTCCTGAGATGTTGGACGGAGGTGTCACAGAGACCCTCCAAAACAATGAAGGCTATTGTCATTGTTCTTGGCTGTTCATCAGAACTCCATGGTAAGATGCTATTGCTGAAGATACTATACATTTTGGTCACAGGAAATTGAGAAATCAAGTTGTTACTGGTCAGGAAGCTTTCTCATTGATAAATAGCTTTCACAGTCCAAAAAGATTCGATGTAGGCTGATGGAGATAAATGTTATCCACAGTCTTAACCAGCTGTAAACACCAGGAGTTACAATAAAGACCAGTGTGGCAAGATAAACAATGGTTGCAATAATCACAAAAATTAAATGTAAACAATCGCTTTCTGATTAGGTTTAAGACCTACTTCACAGCCGGAATGAATGCATAGTATTGTAAATATGGGTAAGAAACCATGGCACGGCAGCTCACAGGCTCTAGGGATTTACTCACTACTATTATTCTGCTAAATGGCCATAGTACTGTACTGCCCACTGTACTCTACTGCCCATAGTACTGCAATCTGACCACTCAATTCATATCTTTATACCCATACATTAGTTCAGATCTCAGGACTCAGCATGAAATGGTACAATGTTTGGTAGTTAATGTAGAAATTTACAACTGGTCAAGGTACAGAGAATTAGTGTCTGTGGAGTCCTCTCTCACAAATGGGGCATCCGTGCCACAACCCTCTCCTTATGGCTCAGGGACAATGATGGAAGAATTTGTGATTTTAAAAGCAAGAGTGTAGGGAGAACTAGAGTAAAAACATGACAGGACTACTATGCTCATGAGTTCATGACAGCATTATCTGTCTGTACAAGACCTACCCAAGAACAGGCAAGTCAACATTGTGGCATGGAGACAGGGCTCAAGAAACACTACACTAAGCTGAGGAGTTCTTGACAGTTGATGGATGCTGGAGAGGGAGAGACAGTTTTCTTTAAAGGTGTGGTCCCTGGTAGGTCAACCATGCTCCCCTCGAGGCCCATATACATGTGGATGAGGACAGTACAAACAGTTTTGCTGTTTTAAGAGAATGTGAAGTTGGGAAGGTGCTGTGGTAGGACTTAGGAGGAGTGGGACTTAAATGCGACCCAAATACCCTATATTCATATATAAAATTATCGAATGTTTTATATTTATCAAATACACCAAAATGTGTGAAGCAAGGATTTCAGAAACTGAACACATAACTATTATCTCTTGGGGGGAAAATAAAGAAAATAACCTAAGCCTATGTTTATCATTGCTTATTTCCCAGCAACAATCTGTATGCTAAAGGACAATGTACAAAACCTCAGAAGTATCTCTGGGTTAAAGAGACAAAACAAATAAACAAACAAACAAACAAACAAAAACACACAACTACAACAATACCAAAAATCAAAAACCTAGGAATTTGTGGAGGCCAATGCAGCTATAAGCCACGTAAAAGACTAAAGAAAAGATAGGAGATCTATAACAAGAAGATCCAAAGTTCTGGAAAGTAGAAACCTCAAATCCTGGGCTGAAAAATCATCTGGTCATTTTCAACCACATAAATTTGGTCAGAGGACTAAAAAGGTCAGTAGGTCAAATACTTCTCAATGTTCGTAAAGGCCTGTGAGGGAGTCATAAAACCACAAACAAGAATGGAAAGAACCATGCCTCATGGTCCCTGGTTAGTGGCCCTTTATTTGCAAAGGGTAGTTAGTGGAGATGTTGATAAAAATAGCCTTAAACTTCAGACTGATCATCATCTGTAGTAAGAAACCAAACAGCAAGCCTTCAAAACAGCAAATTGAAACAAAGTAGGGGAGCTGTATGGTACAACAAATCCAACACAGTAGAGAAAAATAAATTAAAATTGGCATTTAGCATCCAAACCTTAAAATGGGCAGAACTTAAACATTATCAGAATAGCTTGTGTCTGTCTATAGGTGAATGCTACAGCATGTAGTCAGTGTATTTACTCCCCTGCCTCTCTCTCACACACACAGCCTCAGGAATATAAAAAAAAAGACAATATCTACTTAGTGGTATTATAGACTGATTTGTTTCCCTCCATTCTTATGTGGAAATTCTAACTTTAGTGCCTGAGATTATGACTATTATTGTACATAGGTCTCTTAAGAAGAAGATTAAGTTAAAATTTAAACACGAAGCATGGGCTTGAATACAATATAAGTGGTATAATTAGTAACACTAGATAGGTTAATAATATAGTAATGGGCATTCAAAACAGGGGGAAATAAAATTGAAACTGTAACATTAAAATCTATACAAATCAAATTCTATAGATAGCAAACACTGAGAAAAATATTGCCAGTAGCGTTGGGAATCACAGCAACTATTTCAACATGTGTTCAATTTGTACCACTGTAGGAGAGAAGGAAGGTTAAGACAAAGCCGAGGAGTTAGTTAGCAAATATCTCTCAAATTTGATGTGAAAAAACAACCCATAAATCCAAGAATCACATGAATTTCAAGGAACAAAGAGAAAAACTTAAGAGTATGTAGAAGGGGATAAAAAACCTCCTATGTCATAAAACATAAACAGAAGATGAAATGTGAACTTGTCAGTATTTGTCTCAAAATACGCATGTAAGAATGCAGTGGAGTTGTATACAGATGATAAACCCAATGAGAAAGAAATCATGGAAACATCACCTTTCACAATATCCACAAGCAATATAAAATATCTGGGGTAACACTAACCAAAAAAGTGAAAGACCTGTACAATAAGAACTTTGAGACTTTAAAGAAAGAAATTGAAGAAGATACCAGAAAATGGAAAGATCTCCCATGCTCTTGGATAGGTAGAATCAACATAGTAAAAATGGCAATCCTACCAAAAGCCATCTACAGATTCAACGCAATCCCCATCAAATTCCCAACACAGTTTTTCACAGACATTGAAAGAACAAGACTCAACTTTATATGGAAAAATAAAAAACCAAGGATAGCCAAAACAACTCTTTACAATAAAAGATCTTCTGGAGGCATCACCATCCCTGACTTCAAGCTCTACTATAGAGCAATAGTTCTGAAAACATCTTGGTATTGGCACAAGAATAGACAGATAGAAGAATAGAATCGAATTGAAGACCCACATATTAACCCATGCACCTACGAACACCTTATTTTTGACAAAGGTGCTAAATCTATACAATGGAAAAAAGCATCTTTAACAAATGGTGCTGGCACAATTGGATTTGGACATGCAGAAGATTGCAGATAGATCCATACCTGTCACCATGCACGAAACTTAAATGCAAATGGATCAAAGATCTCTCCATAAATCCAGCCACACTGAATCTTCTAAAAGAGAAAGTGGGAATTACCCTTGAACAAATTGGCACAGGA